TTTCTGCTGCCCTGATCTCCTCTGTACCTGACTATATCTTGTATCTTGTATATTTGGTTTATTTTCTGTCCAAATTTTGCAATTTTCCAGAAGTAAAGCAAATTCTCATGAATTCAAAAAGTTCAAAGTATTGCAAACCTTTTTTAACTCTTGTTTTCTAACATAAGCCCAAATTTTCATTTATGTTGCATGACAAAGTTGGGAAAAACTACCCAAATTACTTAGCTAAATTACCATTGTTTTTCAGCAAATTAAATTAAAGTAAGTTTTTATTTCAGCTTCTGCTGCCAGCCTCAGGCTTCAGCATTAATTTTCCAAACTGTAAGTGGTTCAAATACGTGTAACATTAAAGCCTGCAGTTTTGTTTGCATCCTGCTAAAACAGCTGGAATAGTCCAGGGCAATGCAAACCACCAAAATTTATAAAGTATGTGACAGAAACGATAAGATAATCTCCATCAAGGGATCTGACTGAGAAACACATTTCCAGAGGCAGTCAAGCTAATACTGTCTTGATTATCTGTAGGAAAACCAAACTCTCTGTCTTTGAAAACAACCTCTTCCACTGCTGAGGATATCTTCTTTTAACCCAATAAAACCTTATTAAAACATAAAAAGAAATAGATATAAAACATAGAGTCAGAAAAAAGCTATTCTAGAGCAAATTTTATTCCCCTTCTCTACCTCCCTGTCCTGCGAGAATAGAGAATTGAACTAGAGACTTTATAAAGTCTAAGAGGGATTTGGCTGTTGATTTTACAGGGGAGGTCTCAGCTATTCTGGAGGCAGGTGGAAAACATATAAAACCCATATGTGGATATAGACTTGGGAATAACTGCCTTCTTTTGAAATGCAGCAATGCTGCCTCTCTGTCAAATGAAAATGAATTTCTCAGTAAAAGAAGTGGTTTAATGCAACAGACTTCACTGAAGAAAAAATGGATAAGGAATGAATTGAGACTGCTTTTGAAGCTTTGCATTAAAGTCACTGACAGTCATCTTTCAACTGCCATTTATCACTTCTAAAGAAGGACTTGTGGAAATCAAATATTTAATATGATATATCGTTTATCAAATATCTTCAGAAGCACATTTTAGAAATATGCACGCCGTGGATTTCATCTGGGAAATGTATGCTCTGAAGTATCATACAGCTCACCATTCAGTTGGCTTCTAAATAATTTCTTTTTACCTCCTGGGGCACTGTACAAGAGAAAGTGTTTGGAATTTTGAATCACTGTTATAATGGTACTGTTGCAGTCTACCCAAGATTTGATGAACTCTGTGTAAACATTCCAAAGCTCTTTCAGGTAGTTAAAGAAATTTAAAACTGGAGAAGATCTAGATTGTCTAAATCTAGTTTGCATTATAGCTCTGGAAGTGTATATTTTTAATCAATGTCAGGCACAAAGTCTTGTGGCAGAAATGATTTTTGTTGCTTTCAATTCTTACCTTAAAATTAACTCCTGAATGAAGAATACGGAAATTATCATATATAACCAGCACACAGCACATTGTGTTTATCGCACAGCAGGCAATTGCGAGACAAACTTTCTACAGATAATTATGAAACAAAGTAACTATAGAAGTTTTTCCTAATCTTTGCCCATTCTGAAATGACTCTATAGCATGAACCTATGATGTTGCTAGCACCACACCTACGTTGCTGATGTTATTTTTAATAGACTCCATTGTAGCAGCTTTGGCTTTTCAGTCTAGTGATACCCTGTATCAGTGAGTCATCCAACTGAGTCGTACATTGTAGAGAGTGAAGTCTGGGCTGCATTGTTTTCAGTAGCAGTTTGTACTGAGATAACTATCCCTTTGTAAAAGGCAAGCACCATCCTTTACTGTTTCATTAAGTCAGCCCTGCTGGCATTCTTCAGACAAAAATAAAGATGATTTTGATGATGAAGATGCCCCTTTCGTGAGGGATTATAAGGTTTGTAGTTGAGCTGGGAGGTGGGGAGTTCCAGCATGCACACTGATAGATAAAACCTTGGTATCTTGTCTGTTCTGTCTTTTTTGTCTCAATGGCTATTGCTTGTTTTCCTGTCCAGGAAATAAGGCAAGGAAGTTTTCTAGTAAGTGCATTTTACAGAGTGTGCTAAAATTCACTGAACCATTGAAATGTGGGGCTCCAATTGTGGAATGGAAGAAATGAGTGAGAAGAAAATAAGAGGTCACTTTGGCACGTGGCTTTGACAGAATGAGAGGGGCCAGAGAGGATGGGAGCAATGAGGAGGTATTAATGTGCAAGAGAGTGGAAGTAGAAATAAATTGCAGAGTTACTTCAAAAGACTGTAACTGGTGATCTTTAACGCCAGAACTCTATTTAGAGTGGCTGGATAGACCAGCGCTTAGGGCTGTAGTCCTGAGCACACTACCTGAGTTTGGTCACCCTTGCTTCTGAAGTAACTTTTGGCCCATCATATCCTTCTGTTTCTGTTTCTAGCTTATAAAATGAAAACTCTACCCAGTCAGGATGATACAGCTAACCCAAATTTATGGTTTTACAGGCAATTCCTATTTGAAAGAGAAACTCATTATGAATCGTGGTTCTTATGTTGTAATCGTCTGCTTACTAGAGAGTTCATGAACGTAGGCTCTTAAGCACAAGAAGGATCAGATGAGTACAGAAGATTTCTCACTTCATCTTTCAAAATGTATTTAGAGTTAAAAGTTCACCAGATCTCTCAGCTGTCCTGGGGTTTAATCTCTGTGTTAATTTATTTCTAAGCTCTTTCAATTCTGTACCTGATCTTTTGTGTATAGATACATTTCACAAGTTTTTTGTAGTAAAGCTTGAATAGTCTATGTTCATTCTTCAGGATATACTTTGTATATCCTTCCTGAAAAATCACCTGCATGAAGGAACTGACAGATGACTCCATTTGTACGGCAATTTTCCCCATCTTTCTGCAGAAATTAAAGCAAATTTCACCCATAGGTGACAGCAAAGTCTTGGAAACTGAAAATGCAGCCAATGCAATGTATGCAATTAAGTGCACAATGGTGACAGCAAAAGTGCTTATGTGGAAATATGCAAAAGCCAATCTAATCTCAGAAAATCCATGATATTTTTCTAAGAACTGCAAAAGAGCTATCTAGCGTGGGTGGTGGTTAGATGAGGAGAAAGCCTCCAGTCTGAAGACAGCTCAGGATTCCCCAGTAGCTTACCCTTGAACTTAACTTTTTCTGGGTAAGAAGCTGATTTCTTTCCTTAATTGTCATCTCTGCTTCTTGTCCTTTACGGGACAGAATTGTAAGGTCCAATTGCTGCACCCTGTTGTCAGCCACAAGGAGTATCGGAAGTTATCAAATGCTCCCCACCTTTTCAGAACCAATGCATTCATATCAATCCTGTGAATCTGGAAATCAGAGATGAAACTGACTTATCACACACATTTCTTTAGGAGATGGTGGAGGCTGTAACCTGTGCTATGTACTTTTAAATCATTAGGACATAATAACTTTGGTCTAATCTCCTGCTTTATCACCCTCAGCAGGTTATTCCCCAGTGTATTTTGAAGTTAAAATAGGAGAATGAGACAGATTATTGTTTTAACTCCTAAATTAGTGATTTATGTATTTATTTTTCTAGTAATTTGTGAATTGCTTAATTGTTTAGCAGTGCTGTTAAAAATTTATGTTCAAGGATAAAAAACAAAACCAACTCTTTCCTTTTTTCTTTTCCTTTAAAAGCAGGCAGGAGGGTTTTCAGATGTCCATATCCTATTGTTTCTTATCAGTAAAATATTTCTTATGAAATTAGCAGTAAATGAAATATTTCTAGATTGCCTTATTTCTTTCTCAAAAATAATTCTGACTTGTGCCTGAATGATAGTTAAACATATTAATAGTAAATACTGTTAATTAGGTTCTGTCTTTTGTAGTGTGATTTTCATTAACCACATTCTTACTTCAACTGAGTTATTTTATGCAATCTATGATCTTCCAGAGATGTTGGATTAAATAACTACAAATGAGCACTTGGAGGAAAAAGCACATTTTCAGGGCATGCTTGCTTTTATACTTTTTCCTTGAGAATTTTAAGTGCAATTTATTCATTAGATACATAGATGTGGACAAATGTCTATATACTGTAGTATTTTTGGCAGTATTAAATGAATGTCTTTGTCATGGTCAGAGGTTTGGATGTTATTTTCAGATGCATGGCTTGTATGCTAGAGAAACATTAGAGATGGAGAAGAAATACCGTTCAAGGCTGAGTTAGTCTATACACTGGTGAAAGCAGTTTTTGAGGAACTGAGAGGACTGCAGCAAAGGTGTGCAGCAGATTTTAGCTGAAGTGTATGGCTTTCTTGAAGACAAAACAGTTTGTAGAGAAAATACTGATGTAAAAAAAATGTTTATGAAGGAAGAAAACTCTGTGTGTGCGAGACAGAAAGCCAGTCTAGAGACCTAGCAGATGTATCTGTGCCCCAGACCACAAACTGGACCTGGAAACCTGAAACTAGTATGTCTGTGTGTGTGTAGGATGCATCTGCCCCAGTTCTGAGCTATTTACTTCAGAATTGCTTTGTAGACATTGCAGATGAACAAGCCCCTGAAAAGAATGAGGTGGATCACCTACTGGGCATGTGCCGTCTTCCCATGGGTTGTGAAAGGAAGCCAACAGGACTAGGCTTTTTGATCCTTACACTGGGGAAGATGAATTGCTTTCCTTCTTGGGTCACCCATTGGTGAAACTGGCCCTGAAGTCCTTTCTCTCTCTTGAGAACAAAGCTGAGACTTCTCAGCAGGCTTTCACACAGGCATAACTTTTTTTTTTAAAATAACATCCTATAGTGAGGCAAAGTAATCAGCCACTCTGTGATCAGATATTTTTGATAGGAGGTGGGGTGAAATAAAGAAAAAGTAAACCAAACAAACGAAGAAAAGAATCGACTACAGGAATTTTTACCCTCTTCCCTCCTCCTTTTTAATAGTAAGGCAATTTTTAGAGGATTCTCTGGTCAATTCTTACCCTTTGTTGCAGATTGTTCACAGGACCCTTGCAGCCATGCTGGGCTCTTTGGCAGCTTTAGCTGCCTTGGCTACTATTGGGGAGGTAAGTTATCAAACCATAGTTGCTCATTTTGTTTCTGGCTGCAGTATCATGAAGTTCTGTGTTTGCCCTGTTGTGATTGGGCATATGTCAGAGCAGCGCCTTTTAAGGGAGAGGTAGTAGGGCAGATATTGGGATGGGAAAGGATCTTGGGGAAAACAAGTCAGCCTAGGCTATAGAAGAGTAGAAAAAAGTCAGTTGTTGTTATTTTGTTCTGATTTTCAGGAAGCTGAACACAACAATTTCAACAATTTAATTCATAGTCAATTTAACACTATTATTTTCAGTGATGTTAGGTTACCAAGCAAACCAAAATGGAAATATATTGCCTTATACTACCCTAAATAATTACACCTCATGCTTACACCTTCCAATCCTTTGGTTTCTCCTCTGCTTACTTTTTGATGATATTTAGTGAAAACTGATTGATTTTTCTGTTTTTCTTATAACCAGTCACCACATCATTGCTATATTCCCTTAAACTCCATCCAGTTTCTTCAGAGGTCAAGTGGTACCCTTCTCTTACCAAAAAGGAAACCAGGGTGTACCATATAATTTGGTCATCTTTTATTTCTGTAATGCTACATAAGGAACAACTAGATAAACCAATGGCTTAATGTAGGCTTCTGATAATGACCCACTTAAGATGCCAGCAGTACTTTGAATTAGTAATAGTAATAATAGTAGTGGTAATAATGGCAATAATAAAGAGTCATTTTTGTGTACCTTGTATGAGCACTTTTTAATTTCCATCATAGCTCATTTAAATGGTTCATCAATTAAGTGGAGTTTGTATTTTATAGCTAATCACAAATTAGGTATTCCGTGACATTCAGTGGTAATTATAGTTTTTGATTGCAGAGGCCAAGTATGGTCAAAGTGGTGGAGTGGATTGATTATGAGACACTGACGCTGCTGTTTGGAATGGTAACTACAGTGTATCTTTCACTTTAAATGTGCTGAAATAATCACATTCAATACAGAGGTCTTTCTCTTTAAAACATTTTGTTAATTATACTTTACTGAGACATGTTATGATGAAAATTTGGACCTTAAGGCGTTTATCAAAAAGTAGGATGATCAGGCCTCTAAAGGAGCCTTTTGAAAATGTTAACCCTTTTCTATTTTTTTTTAAATCTGCAAAATCATGTTGATAACATACTGAAAGCATCCTTGAGGTCTATAAATGGAAAAACCTGTTTAAGTGCCAAGTATTATCACTGTCATTTATCTTGTTAATTTTGTTTACTCAAAACCTTCCTCAAACACACTCTGCTGGAGAAGTGGTTTTCTTTGTCTCAGTCACTGCAATATTTGGAGCCAAAAAAAAAGCAAGCTAGAAATGGAGGAGAAATATCTGATTAAATTATAATAATACATTATTTTTATCACTTTACCCAGAGCTATTTATGGCAAAAAGAGTTGTCCAAGTGCCATTAAACTCTAACACAAAACATACAATACACAGAGACAAAATTACAATTATCTGTTGCCATTTTGAGCTTTTCTCATTTCCTGACAGTGCTTCCTGCATCCCGCCTTCCTCACAGAAGAAATAAAGCAAAAACAAGTATGTTGGGAGCAAAGATGCAAGAACAGGAAACCTTCCAGAAATGTAGGAAAATGCACACCATAGGACATTACTGCAGATAGCAAACACACATATTGGCTTTTCCTGATTAATGACGTAAGGGACATACACTGGCTACTTAATGTATAATGCCCACTTAATCATTACAAATAAAATTCAGCCAGAGTAGTACGACATTTAAAGACTGTTTATGTTGAGAACTAAATTTTACCATATGACACATTAACAAAAGATATCCTAATATGAAAGTGATCAGATTCTCAGAGCTGTGGCAGATAAAGACTTTTGTCAGGATCACAAACTACATTGCTTTGTTTTTCATGTAATAATTCAGTTGCAAGATATTTTCTTTTTCTTCACCTTTTGGTAGATGATTTTGGTGGCCATATTTTCAGAGACTGGATTCTTTGACTACTGTGCAGTAAAGGTAGGCTTGGTTTGGTACTCTTAATTATTACTGGATTAATCAAGTTAGTATTTAAACAGATCCATTACACCAAGTGATACCTTTGAAGAACCTTTCTTAGGGTGATGCATACTTACCACATTACAAATGACATTGGTCAACTTGTAATTTTGAAAAATCTCTTAGGGGTGAAAGGAAGCCCTGAAGGAAATTCTGTTTCTACAGGAGAAAGGCCCTCAGTAGGGTACACAAGCATATGGACTTATGGACAAGCTGGGTTATTCCACTGACTTCCCCAAGACAGTTCCACTGTAACTGAAATCTGTATTTATGCCTGATAGTGGGAGACAGGAAACATGGGAACTATAGTTAGCTTTACAATCACACATGGAAAATGGCCACAGACCGTTGCACAGTCACAGAACCAAGGATTACCTGAAAAAGAATAATTTGATAGATTGATTGTAAAACAAATATTACCCATGGTGAGGGACTCCTTCACCTGCTGCAAAGCCTAATTTTCTGAAGAAGGGTGGAAAGAAAGAAAACAAGAGTGACAAGGAGGAGTGCTTTGAGCACAGAAGCCCTGAACAAGACAGAGGTGGACAAAACCCCTGCATATGCAGATGCTCAGATTGTGTGGCCTTGACAGCACTGCTCTGAGAATGGGAAAGCTGTCCCAGAATGTGGAGGGGGTGGGAGGTCTGAACCATGTTAGTCCACCTGGGCATGCAAGCAGAAGATGAGGGCTCGGCCCTGCTCTAGTCACAGACCCCCTTCAGGCCTGACAAGCAGAGCATGGTGTCTCTTCAGACTTCTTTCTTCCTCTGCATGATGCAAATATTTGCCCGCTGCCACAAAATATTTTATTGCTAAATTAATTGATATTGGAGAGAGTGTTGTTGGAGATGCATGGAGTCGTAAATACTCAGAGCTCACTGTTGCCTCATCTTTGGTGTAGTTGTTTTATCTGTCATTTTTTGAAAACTAAGCCGGAGAGATCTAGTCCCTTAATTTTGTTTCTATTTGTTTGGTATTATTAGGCTTATCGATTCTCTAGAGGGAAGGTGTGGGCCATGATTACTCTTCTGTGCCTCATTGCTGCAATTCTTTCTGCATTTTTGGACAATGTTACCACTATGCTGCTTTTTACTCCAGTAACCATAAGGTACTTTATTATTACGATTTTGGACTCAGTCTTTTATAGCCAGCAATCAATAGTAGGCATGTGTGCAAAATGCTTGTTTGGACTTTTTTTGCTCATTTAAATGGAAATCAAAACTTCAAATACTCCTATTATAGTAGGGTAAAAAGCTAAAGTTTTCAGAGGGATTAGTTGTCTTTTCCATTTGTGTTAATAGTGAGTACGTATCTGAAGCCTGTTATACTGCCTTGGCAGCTAACTATTCTGGTTTGTCATCGTAACCGAACTGCAATAGCATATTGCACCAAATGCTCCTTAGTAGATTTTTTTTTCCTGTAAGTGAGGAGAATTTCTTAAATTCCTTTAATTCATTTTCCTTTACTGACTAATATCTATATACAATTTTAGATATTAATTTATGTGTCAGTGAAGTTGTTATCCCTTCTTATACTAGCAACAAATAAATTTTAAAAGTCTCTAGATTTCAACTAAAATCTTTGTTTTGGAATATGAGACTCTGAATTTTCTTTCTGAAGGTGATCATGACATTGATACAGCCACTGGTTAATTCCACAATGTGAGATTAGATATTTGGAATTTTTAATAAAGAATAATGAATTTAATTACTTCAGATTTCTGTAGATTAATGTCACGTGATTTGCAACTACATTTAATCAATGTGTGATTATAAATTACTGTTTAACCTGAGTTTAACCTGTGTCTGGCCAGGCAATTCTAGTTAATCCAGTTCAGTTTTGGAAAGACCTAGTGTGCTTTTATTTTTATCTTGAGTGATGTAATGCTTGCAGTCATTATCACATTAAAGTACACAAAATTCTATTAAGAAGTGCTCCCATTTTAAAATATAGTGTAAAGCAGTAAAAACCAATTTTGCAAGTGGAATTTATTCTAGATTGGAAAACAGCTGGTGAACAAAAGCTCCATTTGTCTTCTGTCTGATTATATTTTGAGGAGATCACTTTTCCTTATTTCAATCACTAACTTCACCTCTAGCAGTAAGTAACACTAAGTTTTCTTTAGCTGTGTTGCAGAATATTTTGTATTAACTATAATTGGGAATGGATTGATAGTCAGACATCAATGCATCGTGAACTACTTCTCACAGGAAGAGCTACTGTGACATTTATTCTATTTTCAAAGAATCATAGAATAGTCCAGGTTGGAAGGGACCTCAAAAGACCAGATGAGATTATCTAGCACCCTGCTTAGTCACATCTTGAAAATCTCCATCAACAGGGACTCTACCATGTCCCTTGGGAAGTTGTTCCAGGGGTTAATTGTTCTCACTGTAAAATAAAATTTTCTTGTGTTAAGATGAAGTCTCTCCCAGTGCCATTTGTACTTGTTGCCCCCACGTTCTTTATCTGGCTCCTTGCGAAGACAGAGCCTCTGTCTTTGTAGCCGACCTTTAATTACTGGAGTTTTACACTAAATGTTTACTAAGTACTTTAGTTTTATACTAAATGAATTTGTAACACTAAAGAAGGGGAAATTCAGTATGCAGAAAACATTTGTATCTGAATCACTATTAAGGATAAAATAAAATTTTATCTCACCTATTAAAACCAAATAATTGCCTATTTCTAAAAGCTGCATGCTGTGGGTCATTTTTTGTTTTTATTTTACTGTCATTGTCTTCAGTCCTTTTCTACGGCTTTACAATGTTGCACTGCGCTCTCATTGTCATGGAGATAAAGCTTGCAGAAAATCCTACTGACTCTATGAATATAAGGATTTATATTTCCTTTATTAAGGCATAAAACCTGATACTTGTTTCACTCTGCATTTTGTAGTAAGTTGACAAAATAATTAATAACTAACCCTTGTTAGCTAAAGTTTATTTTCAAGATACTTTGTTATTGGGAACTGGAAAAGGCTAAAGGTTTTTCACATGGAGAATTATACATCAGGTTAAGTAAACTGAAGAAGTTTGATCCTACCATATAGCTAATGCATTCTGATGGTTTTACACTTTGGCCTTGGCATTTCTTGTCATACGTTAGAGGTTCCTTCTTCAAGCTACCACTATGCCCATCAAAAAGAAAGAATCATTAAAGAAAAGTTAAGATTATGTTTAGAAACATTCGGAAAACAAAGAGTGATGAAGTTAAAACTACAAGTGCAGTTGTGGTCTTGTGCCACAATTGATACAATAGGGCCAGTTGTACTACAAAGTAGTCTTTAATTGCATCATTTTATGCTGTTGGGGAAATTGTGTACTTTTGCACAGTTATTTTGTTCTGGAGTTTTTATGTGCTGACCTATGTGTCGTCTGACTGTTTTTTCTGAGTTTTAAATTGACACCATTGGTGACAATGTATGTGTCTCAAGTCAAGCTTTTGTGTAATGCACTCTTTTCTCTTTGAAATATACATTTTAGTAATACAGACAGACTGAACAGTAACACTCAACTCAGGGAAACGTGTGACAGCACTACAGCAAAAGCAATCCCGAGAAATCATTCTTGCAGCCTACTTTTCCCCCTATCCTGCATTAGGTAGAGGGGGCAATAAGTTAAGCCTGGCCTCCATCTTTACACACTGAAGCAACATTTTGATAAGTTGTGAGCAGGAAAGCAGTTGCTCCTTATTCCAAAGTACTCAAGTGTGATGCTAACTTTCTGCCTTTAATACCACAGCCCAAGTTTGAAGTCAAACATGTACTTCAGAAATGAGCAGATTGTGTGGATCTGTGTGTAAATGTAATTTGTGTGAGTTGAAGTAGTCTGTGAGAAGATTACTGGGTGTAAATGGGCTCTGAAATGGAGTTGAAATGGATCACAAGGTTACTGAGTCAATCCCAGTATTTGCCAGAGCACTTTAAGATGCTTCTTATTAAAGAAGCATTTTACTTTTTCTTATTAAAGATGCATCTCACTAAAGAAACATTAAATGTTTTTGAACTGCAAAAAACATCATGAGATTATTTTAATAACGAGGACTGTTTATTTTCCACTCTTGTTGCATTACAAATAGAAATACTAATGATCAAGCTTTAGAGAAGAGTGAAAACAGGAACAGAATAAACTGTATAAACCTAGGCTGAAAGTGGAGGTCTCTAATAGGTGATTCATGGCTAATAGGTTGCCTACGCAACCCTCTACCACTGCTCCCCACAAGGAAGTTAATAACTGATGCTGAGTGCAGAGCCTGTGGTTGCGCAGAATAGTTTTCCATAGGTCAGTGTAGCCTGGGGATCATGGTTTAAAAAGTTGGATGACATTGGAAGTTTGAAATGCTGTTTTCTGTGTAGTTCAACTCTTGTAGTAGTTGATTACTTTTAATGAAATGCTTTTTAAAATGAATCACTTTTGTAACTGTTAATTATTGCACTATAAATGTAAAAAAAACCTGTAATTTTTGCATTTATATTGCTATAATTACTGTAGCACATATAATGTAGCACGACTAAAACTTTAACAATATACACACACAAAAATATCATATTTAAAATGCTGCAATTTTTCATTGAAATGACTGTATTTTGTAAATGTTATAAATTTTAAGATTTAGGGTAATTTAGTCATGAGGTAAAAGATTAATTTCATTCTCTTTACACTGCAGGCTCTGTGAAGTGCTTAATCTTGATCCTAGGCATGTCCTGATTGCAGAAGTAATCTTCACAAATATTGGGGGGGCTGCCACAGCTGTTGGGGATCCTCCAAATGTGATAATTGTTTCAAAACAGGAGCTGAGAAAGACGGTATGTATTGCAAGCTGTTTAGCTACTAAAATTAAGTACTGATGTGGACTTATGCAGTGTTGAACCTTCTCCTCCCCCAGACGGCCATATAAACAGAACATAATCCACTTTCTGTGCTGCCCTATTTCTTACTTAGTAGGAGGATCAGACAGATCACAGTGATCTTTTTGGGACAAAATTGTGATGAAAAGTAGGCTTTTTGATACAGACTGAGAATAGTGGTTCCCTTTCTTTTTTTGGTGGTGACAAGAAGGATTTCCTTGTCAATGGCAAAGTGAGGAAGGAAGCAAAACTATGGAAAGCTGTAAAGAGAGGGCAACAAGTTGGGAAAAAAGGAAAATTGTGAAAATCCAGTATTTTTTTTTCAGAATAAGCTTTCTCAAAAGTTAAATTGGAGACAATTGGATTACTTTCTAGAAATTTCAAAACTGAAATAATTATCCGTACTCAAAAACCAACCATGTGAAGGGCTGCACTGACCCTGTAGACCCATGTCACACATGTCTGCTGCAAGCAGAGACTTTGTCCTTCAGCCACAGCCCAGGGAGATGTAGGCAGTGAGAGAAGAGTGGGGGCTTCTCCCACGCACCATGGGCTGCAGCTGGCTCCAACCTCCTGCCAAAATTTTGTTATCCCCAGGCTGCAATGCCAGATTTTAACTTCCAACACTTGGCTCTTCTGTTGTTTCATTTTGCTGGGTGACTGGTGCCAAAGGGAAGGCTATGGTGGCATGTTGCTGTGTGGGACTGCAGGACTCCAGACACCTGTTACTGGGATCATTCTGGTCCCACCACCTCCTCCCACCTACACGGTCCTCTCTCCCCTGTGGACAGGCAGAGCCTGTGGTGGTGGGGGTTCACATCTGCAGCCTTCAGCTTCTGCATGAAGCTAGCATTTGCATGAGTTTCCCATGCTTCCAGCTCTCTCTGCCACCTCTGAACAGGACGGCATCAAGTCCCAGTCCTGCCTCTGACACTGTGCTCCCTGGTATCCCTTGATGCATTACCCACCTCTGGTGTGCTGAGGGCAGCAAGAAGGTGGTCTGCTCAGGATGCAAGGGGCAACCCCTCCTGAGATGGGGCAGCTCTGCTCCCCTGCCCCTGCACCACCACTACCAAGGAGCATGATGGACAGGGCAGTAATGTAACAGGCACATCTGTAGGGACACCAGACATGTGCTTTCTGTTTTGGCCAGGTGCCACAAGCCGCTAAAATAAATAATTTTAAAGGAATTCAATGCAGTGTATGATCTAGTGTGAAAATACCTGTGCAAGTGAGGTTAGGGAATCATAGCATAATTAATTTTTTTTTTAAATTTAGAGTCAGTTATATTTCTGTTGCTGTACCAAAAAAGTATCTCTTCTAATTAACTGAATACATACAAATTAAATACTGCCCAGGTTGGAAAATGTCTTTGAAAGTTCATAGTATTTAATAAATTGAATGTTTACCTTCAAATTATTTGAAATGTGCTGCAATTAGTTTGTTTGGATGATGAATTTGGAGACTTTGTAATACTCCTGGCTGACAATGATAACTGAATTTTACATTTTTAAATATGAAATCTGTGCTACTGTTTAAAATTTCTTTTCTAAAAGAGAATAATTAGCACCTGCCATGCAGGTCCTTTTTCTAAATGCTCAGAAACTCATCATATCTGTAGAACCTTTAGAAGTGGCTATAAACATGGGAAGCAATTAAGCAATCACATTGAAAGGAAACAATTTTACTTCTCTTGAATAAGATATTGATAATTTTAGGAGGATACAGATGTATAAATACCCTAGTAAATGTGACAATATAGTAGATTCTGTCTTTGAAATGAACACAAAAACTTACAAAATATTTTCACTCTGGAATATTTTCAGACCTTTATTGCATCACAGAAATGAGTATGTAAGAAAGTTGATCAGATTCAACACAGGACCACGGGACTTGTACTTCATCTTTCCTATATTCTCAACACTTATATCTATATATATAAATAAAATAAGGTCAAAGACCTATTCTTGGCTCTGAGGCTGAGTGACACGGACTGGCTTAGGTCCTCACTGCTTAGGGCTCACTCCCTCTAAAGCAGATTTGCCTCGAAGTGTGCTCGTAGGAGTAGCTGGATGAAGCCAACAGTGAAGACAGGGAGGGAGCTGGACCATCTGGCCTCTAACAGCCTGTGCTGTTGAACTAATAGCTCAATTCCAAATTTTGTCCACTTGCTGTAGCATGCTCTCTTGTATTCACAAGAAGAAACACAGACATTGTTAACTTGGTTGTGAAACTACTACTAACAAAGGCTGCTGTGATGAAGGATTAAATGATCAACCCCAAATCTGCCTCTAACATGCTTGGGGTACCTGTTATGTTTGTACCAAGTAAAATTTATACTTTTTCTTCTAAAAGTGTTTCAGAGGTTAAAGTTCTTGAATGCAAGAATGATATTTTGGAAACAGGACTTCATGAAGTATTTTTTACAGTTGCTATTATGATGTTTTCTACAGAAAATATCTGGGGTTTACTTCTTAACATTATGGCCGTGTTTTTGCCATTCTAGGAATTTTTTCTCCTTGATAAGGTCATTGAAATTCCCCTTTTCATTCTCTTGCACTTCTTTTTCCGTCTTATTTTTGCATAGTAAAAAAGTGTTTGGACAACTTCCCTTCTAGGAAACTGAATAGTGTATTGCACTATGTAGATGACTGCTTTTCCTATTTTATCAGATGCCATCAGGAAAAGAATTTTACCAGTCTTCCTGAATGTTTACTGTTGTACATCAACCTCTAAAAGCATCCTAGTAATATATTATGCAAGCTTACACTTTCTTAGAAAACCTTGGATTTTAAATCAATACAAAATGAAGTGCAGCCTTGTTACTTAGGGTGCTGTTGGGTTATAGCATTAGAAATGCTTTACTCTTAGTTTACTGTAGTGCTGGAGAGATTTTACTCTTTAGGTTCTGGAGAAAACTCATGTCATATTAAGAGTATTTTATTTAAAGTATGTTTGAATAAATAAGCTTTCTGTTACTGTTTACTCGTTAAAATGTAGGGACATTATTTGTCTTGAGATAGAAATGGATGGCAAAGGGATTTTTTTTCTTTGTAGCAGCGGTTAATTTATAATACTGACATTTTCTCTACCATCATGCCTGGAGTCAGTGGAACATTTGCATAATAGGGGAGGAAGATTTGTTAAACTCTTGCTTTTTCTTTGTTGGAGTTGGGAGAAGTCTAACAAAATAGCATTTATGTTGTGATACTAAGCAAGGAAAATAAGACTTTTCATTAAAAGCAAATGGAAAACTCATTCAGCGAGTATAAAACCTTTTAAGTTTTTTGTTACCTTCACAGTACTGCTCCTGAGTAACCATTGTTAGCAAAATTATATTATTACTTTAAGAGATATATGATAGACTTTGGGAACTCAATATTTAATATGCACAATAGGGCGTGAATGAGTTTGAAATGGTCATTGCTTTCAGAAAGCTTGAACGTTAAGCCCTTTATGTTTGGGAACTTCACAAGTATTTATAGTCATTTATTTTGAAATCAGAAATTGCTTCTGCTCTGAGTGTAGGCTGTGATTATAAGATCTTTAGAGAATGACTGGTGAATGGGTCACCAGAGCAAAAGGATGGTGTGAACATAGTGTGAAGTAGTGTGTCTAACTTTAATCTGTCTGAAAAACGTAACAATAAAAGCAAAGGCAGTTTTAGCATGTGCTACCCACTAGAATATAACCTCGTATGTACTGTCTTTATTAGCATGTGACAAAGCTTGTACTGTTAATCTGATGTTTGATGAGAAGTTTGGGTTTTCAGAGTCCCACTCAGAGTTATTCCCATCATTTAACAAGAATTCCCTGGAACATGGACAGCCATCAGGTTCTTCTGTTCCGTCTATCAGAGACTTGCAGCCTTCATGCCAAAATTTAGTATGGGGTAATATTAGTTGGTTATATTTCATTTAAAAATGTGATATCAAAAATTTATGAATAGAAATAGATAATTCTGAAAAATTTGTCCTCTGTATGATTCTATAAAGGTGTTTCAAGCACTGGCAGATTAGGAAATGAATGCCTGTAGTTTACTAGGCTAGTTTTGTTGAGTTTGCTTGATAAAAGGTTATTAAAACTTTTAATCAGTTTGTAAAAATCCTGCTCTTTCTGTCAATGTTTCATTGATTTCTTTTCTCAAGAAAAAATGAAATCCTAGGTAAGGCATAGGAAATAAAATTTATGGTTTCATGGCTAATTTCAGATTTTTCTCCTATCTCTGAATGTAGCAATCATTAAAGAGTTCAGTGCAAGACAAAAAAGGAGGTTTGTCAATGTCTCAGATGAGCATTGTCTTCATGGAACTCTGTTAGACTGTTGCCCGTAGAACAAAGAACACAAAC